CCAGCAAAGCTGTAAGAAGCGAAGCTTTTTACAGGTGGGGTAGAGAAAAGTCCACATGTCCTACTGTAGGGCTCCAAACTGTGATACTGAACTAAAAGTCCCCTTTTCCCTCCAAAACCTGGGGAAAGAGGCAGATCTAGAGGCTCTAATGATGATTGATAGGTCGTTGGCCCTATGATTGCAACCTAGGGAAAGCTACCCAATTGCAAAAAAGCACAGCTTGAATAGATTCATGCAAACTAACAGTGCAAGAAAAGAAATTCAAATCTCCTAGCACAGCCGTGCCAGCGCAATAACCTATTGGGTAGCAGAGTTGTGGAGGTGTTCCTTTAGTTTATTAAGTAATGGATGTTCACCGAGTTTGTAAATATCTTGTTTCTATTTGATGCTGTCAGCAGACAAATATTCAAGCAGACTTCTTTTAGAATAACAAGGTTGTTTACTCATAACTTCATGCATTGAAATATACAGGCACATTTCTTGCCAGGTTAAACATTTCTATTTGTATCTCTAACTTATTGTCTTTAACTATATTGTTCTGTACAGTTCTCTTTCGTAAGAGTCTACTTTCAAAGGAAGTCAAGCATCAACAGTTTTCTAACTTCCTACACTGACATTTGACTGAAAAACAGACTTCTGTACTCAAGATGGCTCAAGGCTTAACTGTATTCTAACTTCTAACACTGACTTCTCTATTCTAACTGACTCAAGGCCTAAGTCATTCCTTACCTACAATGTTTAAAAATGCATTGTAAACAGTCAAAAGATCTGCAGCCCCTCCCACTGCTTCAAGTACATAGAACTGAGGAAACCGAAACCAAAGACATACACTTCAGGAAATAAAGTGTGGGAGTTACTTTCAGAGATTCATTTCCGTATTATAAACAGACATAATATTTAAATAGAGGAGGCTTGAGAAAGTTGCTATTTCCAGCACTGAAGAACTGCTGTTTTTTATGCACTGGCATATTGTCTGTTTCCTAACAGATCAGATCAGCCACTTCTCTCCTGTCATTTCGCAGACAAGGGATAACTTGGCTTTGAGAGCCAAGCATAATTATCTGTGCAATACAGTTGGAATTGACCCTGGATTGATGAATATGATTGTTTGACTATCTAGATTTGGATCTATGCACAAAAGTTATTTAATGTTTACATATGTTTGTGGTCATTTAATGTTTACATATGAGTGTGGTGGAGGCTCGTTCTTTGGAGGTTTTTAAACAGAGGCTAGATGGCCATCTGTCAGGGGTGCTTTGAATGCAATATTCCTGCTTCTTGGCAGAGGGTTGGACTGGATGGCCCATGAGGTCTCTTCCAACTCTATGATTCTTTGTTGTTTTAATGTTGTTTAAAATTGTTGTTTAATTAATTTTAATTGTTATTGTTGTTTGTGCATGGAATAATGTCACTTAATAATGTCACTGCCCCCAAGTCTCTTTCGGGGTGGGAAGGGCAGGATATAAATGTCATAAAAAGATAAATAAATAAAGCAGAGACAACAGGTCATTCAGCCTAATAACCAAAGCCAACTGCCTTTCATAATGGCATTGGGTTGTATACCACTTGAGAAGATTCTACTCAAACAGGTTTTTGGCTCTTCTCTAAGGGCCCTTCCAGGCAGGGTTTTCTGCTTTGAAATAATAATAATAATAATAATAATAATTATTATTATTACTATTATTATTAAACTTTATTTGTACCCCGCTAGCATCTCCCGAAGGACTCGATGCGGCTTACAAAGGCCAAGGCCTCAACACAACCACAGACAATAACAATAAAATGCAAAGCAAATTAAAAACATAAGCAATAACAACAAAACATTACACAGTTACGCTATACTGAAATGGATTATAAGGGCTGTAATCACTGGGTTGCTATGAGTTTTCCGGGCTGTATGGCCATGTTCCAGAAGCATTCTCTCCTGATGTTTCGCCTACATCTATGGCAGGCATCCTCAGAGGTTGTGAGGTCTGTTGGAAACTAGGAAAATGGGGTTTATATATCTGGAATGTCCAAGGTGGGAGAAAGAACACTTGTCTGTGCAGAGGTGCAGTGCTAATTGCTGAAGGATCCTGTGGGGATTGAGGGGTTGGCGGCTAAAGCGGTATCAAACTGTGTTCATTTTTTCTCATGTGAGATAATTGGCCACCTGCAAGGACACTGCCCAGGGGATGTCCGGATGTTTTTGATGTTTTACCATTCTTGTGGGAGGCTTCTCTCATGTCCCCGCATGGGGAGCTGGAGCTGACAGAGGGAGCTCATTTGCGCTCTCCCCAGATTGGAACCTCTGACCTGTCAGTCTTCAGTCCTGCCGGCACAATGGTTGAACGCACTGCACCACTGGGGGCTCCATCCATGCTTGTGGATGCCTGCCATAGATGTGAGTGAAACATCATGTGAGAATGCTCTGGAACATGGCCATACAGCCTGGAAAGCTCACAACAACCCACTGATTCTGGCCATGAAAGCCTTCCTCTGAGGATGACTGCTATAGATTCCCCTCAGGCAGTACGAAGCTAGACATTGAAGCTGAAAGGCTATTTAATGCTAAGCAATGTGCCCAGTTGCAACATTCACACCTACCTCAAACAGACAAGTGTTTGTTCTCCCACCCTGGACATTCCACATATATATAACCCCCAACTGCCTAGTTTCCAACAGACCTCACAACCTCTGAGGATGTCTGCCATAGATGCAGGTGAAATGTCAGGAGAGACTCCACTTAGGCAGAAAAAACGAAATGCAAAGATACAGAATGGGGGATGCCTGGCTCGAGAGCAGTAGGTGTGAATAAGATCTTGGAGTCCTCGTGGACAGCAAGTAAAATATGAGCCAATAATCTGATGTGGTGGCAAAAAAAGCCAATGGGATTTGGCCAACATCAATAGGAGCATAGTGTCTAGATCTAAGGAAGTAATGCTACCCCTCTATTCTGCTTTGGTTAGACCACACCTGGAATATTGTGTCCAATTCTGGGCACCACAATTCAAGAGAGATATTGACAAGCTGGAATGTGTCCAGAGGATGGTGACTAAAATGATCAAGGGTCTGGAGAACAAGCCCTATGAGGAGCGGCTTAAGGAGCTGGGCATGTTTAGCCTGAAGAAGAGAAGGTTGAGAGGAGACATGATAGCCATGTATAAATATGTGAGAGGAAGCCACAGGGAGGAGGGAGCAAGCTTGTTTTCTGCTTCCTTGGAGACTAGGACGCGGAACAATGGCTTCAAACTACAAGAGAGGAGATTCCATCTGAACATGAGGAAGAACTTCCTGACTGTGAGAGCGTCCAGCAGTGGAACTCTCTGCCCCGGAGTGTGGTGGAGGCTCCTTCTTTGGAGGCTTTTAAACAGAGGCTGGATGGCCATTTGTCAGTGGTGATTTGAATGCAATGTTCCTGCTTCTTGGCAGGGGGTTGGACTGGATGGCCTATGAGGTCTCTTCCAACTCTATGAGTCTATGACAATGCTTCTAGAATATGGCCATACAACCCGGAAAGCTCACAACAACCCAGTGATTCTGGGCATGAAAGCCTTCCTTTGAGAATGCCTGCCATAGATGCAGGCAACACTTCAGGAGAGAATGCTTCTGGAACATGGCCATACAGCCGGGAAAACTCACAACAATTTATTATTATTATTTCGTATACTTCTACCCTGCCCTTCTCAACCCCTGAGGGGGGACTCAGGGCGGCTTACAAAAAGGCACATCTTGGTGTCTGCACAAATACAATAACATATAAAACCAGCAATTAAATGGTCAACAATTAAAAACAATTAAAACAACAATATATCACACAATCAATAGTCAATCTCAGACACAGCGTTCGCCACTCAAGAGTTCATATTTCGTTCCACCTTGTCCAGTTCCTATCCATCGTCACAGTCCCTTATTAATCTGCCAGATTGCCCAAACGCCTGGTCCCACATCCATGTTTTTAATTTCTTTCTGAAGGAAAGGAGGGATGTTGCTAATCTGATCTCCTCGGGGAGTGAATTCCATAGGTGAGGGGCCACCACTGAGAAGGCCCTGCTCCTCATCCCCACCAATTTCACTTGTGACAGAGGCAGGGTGGAGAGCAGGGCCTCCCCAGAGGATCTCAGACTCCGAAATGGGACGTAAAGGGACGTAAACAACCCAGTGCTTCTGGCCATGAAGGCCTTCCTCTGAGGATGCCTAACACAGATAAAGATGAAACGTCAGGAGAGAATGCTTCTGGAACATGGCCATACAGCCCGGAAAACCCACAACAACCCAGAGCTTCCAGCCATGAAGGCCTTCTTTTGAGGATGCAGGCAAAACGTCAGGAGAGAATGCTTCTAGAATACAGCCATACAGCCCGGAAAACCCATAACAACCCACTGCTTCCAGCCATGAAGGCCTTCCTTTGAGGATGTAGACGAAACGTCAGGAGAGAATGCTTCTGGAACATGGCCATACAGCCCGGAAAACCCACAACAACCCAGTGCTTCCAGCCATGAAGGCCTTCCTCTGAGGATGGTTAACACAGATGCAGGCGAAATGTCTGGAGATAATGCTTCTAGAATACAGCCATACAGCCCGGAAAACCCACAACAACCCAGTGCTTCCGGCCATGAAGGCCTTCCTCTGAGGATGCGGGCGAAATGTCAGGAGAGAATGCTTCTAGAACATGGCCATACAAGCAATAACAATTACAATGCGAAGCAAAATACAAATACTAATACAAAGCAATTAAAATAAATCTCATACACAAATAGCATAAAGAAGGCCTTCCTCTGAAGATGCCTAACACAGATGCAGGCGAATCTCTAGAAATGCCTGTAGAACACGGCTCTATAGCCCGAAAAAACCCACAAGAACCTAGTGATTCCAGCCATGAAAGCCTTCGACAATACCCAGTGCTTCCAGCCATGAAGGCCTTCCTTTGAGGATGCGGGCGAAACGTCAGGAGAGAATGCTTCTGGAACATGGCCATACAGCCCGGGAAGCCACACAGGCGCCCCCCCCCCCTTGCTCACCCATTTTCTTGGTGAGGATGGCGACGAGGGGGATGCTGGGCCGGTCGCTGAAGACCTCGGCCTGGTTGACGAGGGCGTCGCGGACGGTCTCGAAGTCGCTGAGGACGATGATGGGTCGGCTGCCGACGAAGAGGCTGAAGACGCTGCCGTAGGCCCGGCCCAGCTCGGTGAGCAGGAGGTGGGGGGCCAGGGGCCGCGGGAGGCGCTGCAGGGACTTCCCGAGCCTGCTGCTGGAGGCGCACGAGGCGCCCATCACGGCCAGGTGGTTCCTTAGCACCTCGGGCAGCCCCGCGAAGGCCAGGTTGCCCACCAGCGGCCAGGGCTTCGGGCCCGGAGGGAGGCCGCGCGGCGCCCGGCGGGACAGCAGCCACCACAGCGCCAGCGCCAGCCCCGCGCCCGCCACCAGCGCCGAGCCCAGCCACGACGAGGAAGACCACCCCGAGCCCTCCATTTCCCCGCCTGCCCCGTTATGCCCCGCAGGAGAGAAAGAGAGCCAGGCAAGGAGACGCAGGGAAACCCTTCCTCGCTGCCGCTACATTCTTGCTGCATTGGCAGCAGCCAGGCCTCCGATTGGCTGCCCAGACGAGGAGGCGGAGCGATTAGAATGCCCATGATCAAAGGGGGGGGGGGATAATTCGGTAGGCGTGACGTCAAGTTGCAAAGGATTTCCCTGACTCCGAGAGGGAGGGGTCGCTCCACCGCTCCACCTCACCTTCCGCCTATATAGGTGCATACTCAATATATCCCATATGCAGAGGCGGCCCTAGCTAATTTTCAATGGTAAGCAAACAGTATTTTGCCCCCCCCCCCAAACCAATCACTGATAAATATTTTCTGTTCGTTGTGGGAGTTCTGTGTGCCATATTTGGTTCAATTCCGTCATTGGTGGAGTTCAGAATGCTCTTTGATTGTAGGTGAACTATACATCCCAGTAACTACAACTACAACAGCTGAACTGTTTAAAATCTTAAAAGATGATGCTGTCAAGGTGATGCATGCCATATGCCAGCAAATATGGAAAACACAAGAATGGCCATCAGACTGGAAAAAATCAACTTATATCCCCATACCAAAAAAGGGAAATGCGAAAGACTGCTCAAACTTCCGTACAGTGGCCCTTATTTCTCATGCCAGTAAGGTAATGCTCAAGATCCTGCAAGGAAGACTCCAGCAATACATGGAGAGAGAGAGTTGCCAGATGTACAAGCTGGGTTTAGAAAAGGCAGAGGAACGAGAGACCAGATTGCCAATATCCGCTGGATAATGGAGAAAGGCAGGGAGTTTCAGAAAAACATCTATTTCTGTTTTATTGACTATTCTAAAGCCTTTGACTGTGTGGATCATAATAAATTGTGGCAAGTTCTTGGTGGGATGGGCATACCAAGCCACCTTGTCTCTCTCCTGAGGAATCTGTACAAGGACCAAGTAGCAACAGTCAGAACTGACCACGGAACAACAGAGTGGTTCAAGATTGGGAAAGGCGTACGGCAAGGCTGCATCCTCTCACCCAACCTTTTTAACTTGTATGCAGAACACATCATGCGATGTGCGGGGCTTGATGAATGCAAAGCTGGGGTGAAATTGCTGGAAGAAACATTAACAACCTCAGATATGCAGATGACACCACTCTGATGGCCGAAAGCGAGGAGGAGCTGAGGAGCCTTCTAATCAAGGTGAAAGAAGAAAGCGCAAAAGCCGGGTTGCAGCTAAACATCAAAAAAACCAAGATTATGGCAACAAGAATGATTGACAACTGGAAAATAGAGGGAGAAAATGTGGAGGCCGTGACAGACTTTGTATTTCTAGGTGCAAAGATTACTGCAGCTGCAGACTGTGGCCAGGAAATCAGAAGACGCTTACTTCTTGGGAGGAGAGCAATGTCCAGTCTCGATAAAATAGTAAAGAGTAGAGACATCAGACTGGCAACAAAGATCCGCCTAGTCAAAGCCATGGTATTCCCTAAGGATGTGAGAGCTGGACCTTAGGGAAGGCTGAGCGAAGGAAGATCGATGCTTTTGAGCTGTGGTGTTGGAGGAAAGTTCTGAGAGTGCCTTGGACTGCGAGAAGATCCAACCAGTCCATCCTCCAGGAAATAAAGCCCGGCTGTTCATTGGAGGGAAGGATACTAGAGACAAAGTTGAAGTACTTTGGCCACATCATGAGGAGACAGCAAAGCCTAGAGAAGACAATTATGCTGGGGAAAGTGGAAGGAAAAAGGAAGAGGGGCCGACCAAGGGCAAGATGGATGGATGGCATCCTTGAAGTGACTGGACTGACCTTGAAGGAGCTGGGGGTGGTGACGGCCGACAGGGCGCTCTGGCGTGGGCTGGTCCATGAGGTCACGAAGAGTCGGAGACGACTGAACGAATGAACAACAACAACAACAACAATCACATATGTCAAGGTCTATTTTCCCCCAAGAGCACCCCTGGGCAAAATCAACTGTACTGCAAATGCTTACTCTGCATAATGGGTTGAGCCACCCCTGCCCATATGCATGGGGGTATTGGGGTAATGATACAAAAGGTTTGCTAGGGTAGACCCTCTTTCACTCAGACTCAGCCCCCCCGAAACCCCCCCTAAAAAAACTCAGCCCCCCCCCCCCCGAATCGAAATCCTGGCCACGGGCCTGACTCCCACCATTCCTAACAGCCCCAGCTCCCATCCTTTCCTTTTTTATGCACTGGCACAATATTCTCTGTTTCCTACAAGAACAATGGCAGGTCATTCAGTCTAACAACCGAAGCCAATTGCTTAAGCATCTGAGGAGGGGAAAGAAGGGGTCTGAGGCTGTTAGGAATGGTGGGAGTTGAAGTCCAAAACACCTGGAGGGCCCTAGTTTGCCCATGGCACATTCTCTGTTTCTTACCAGATCAGAGACAATAGGTCATTCAGTCTAACAAGTGAGGCCAATTGCTTAAGCATCTGAGTGGGGAAAAGAAGGGGCCTGAGGCTGTTAGGAATGGTGGGAGTTGAAGTCCAAAACACCTGGAGGGCCCTAATTTGCCCATGGCATGTTCTCTGTTTCCTGCCAGATCAGAGAATATCAAAAAGAAAAATGGGTTCCCCTCAAACTGTGGAGACCAAAATCCACTGATAGTGGTGATATGAAAATAACTACATTAACTCAATGCATATATTACAAATGCACATATCAAAAACTGCCACATACACATAAGTAGAAACAATTGGTTCTTCTCTTGAAGTATAAAGCAAAGTCTTCGTTTGAGAAAATGTCGTTTCTTTATTACATGTGAGTAGACTCCAGTAGTCACATGAATTGACTCCAACCTGCTACTGGTTTCGACTCACAAGAGTCTTCGTCAGGCAGTTGGGTTCAAGTTATCAAAAACAAGCTCAACTTTTAAGGTGAGAAATTCACCAAGTCTTCTGGTGGGGTGGATCAACTATTCTTTGTTGAGCAGTGCACTCTGCAAGGAGTTTTATTCTGTGGAGAGTTTATTATTATTATTCAGCGCAATGCTTAATTCTTTGTTGTAAGCTTACTATTGTTTCTGTGCATTATCTTGTATTATTTTGATCTGTTTGTATTTTGAGGCATCGAGGCCTTTTGTTTTGTGTCTGTAAACCGCCCTGAGTCCCTTTGGGGAGAGAGGGTGGACTAGAAATAAAGTATTATTATTTTATTATTATTATCTCATGAAAAACTTCCAATTTTTTAAAAGTGACTCATTGCTTATTTTACATAGACTAGGAGAGTTCTTCTTATGTTCGTGCAACACATTGCAGCCAAAACACTAATGTGACATGACACAGATTGGAAAGCTATGGTCTAGATCTGGGGTCCTCAAACTAAGGCCCGGGGGCCGGATACGGCCCTCCAAGTTCATTTACCTGGCCCTTGCTCAGGGTCAGCCTAAGTCTGAAACAACTTGAAAGCACACAACAACAACAACAACAACAACAACAACAACAACAACAACCCTATCTCATCTGCCAAAAGCAGGCCCACACTTCCCATTGAAATACTATTAAGTTTATATTTGTTAAAATTGTTCTTCATTTTAATTATTGTATTGTTTATAAGTGTTTTTTGCACTACAAATAAGATATGTGCAGTGTGTATAGGAATTCATTCATGTTTTTTTCAAATTATAATCCAGCCCTCCAACAGTTTGAGGAACTGTGACCTGGCCCTCTGTTTAAAAAGTTTGAGGACCTATGGTATAGATTGTAGGCTTAATGCAGTTTGACACCACTGTCATGGCTTAGTGCTGTGGAATCAGAGGGAAGCGTCCCGCAGGTATAATGGGTATAAGTTGAAGAAGCATTGGTTTGTTTTGAATATTAGAGCTCTAAGAGTAATTTTGAAACAGAGCCAATTGCCTAGAAATGTATTGGGGTCTCTTTCTCTCCAAGTCTTCAGAAGAGGCTGGACAGCTCCCTGCTGGGACGCTGTTGCTGGAGTTCCTGCATTGAGCTGGGGTTGAACAGGATACCCTGGAGGACTCCCTCCATTTACAGTAGTGGTTCCCAATCTTTTTTTTTTTTTTTTTTAACCAGGGGGCACTTTGACTAGGTTCCACTTTGATCAAGGACCTCTTGACCAGGGACTACTCTCCAACATTAGTACCAAACGGGTTACAAATCAGTTTTTGGTCAACTTTAGATTCAGTTTGGTTATTTGGGGTGCTGATTCAGAAAATTGCATTCGATAGACCACATCAGCTCTAGTTTCTGATACAGAACATATGCCACCCAGTAGTCACCATCTGCTCACCCACAGAAAACCATATTTAAAAATCTAGAGCTGGTAGTAGCAATCTTTCATAGGTAGTCAGCCTCTCCCCTCCCAACATCCCCGTTGCTTTGGCACTTTAAGTGGGTTTCCCAAGACCAGTCGCTCTTGTTGCCATGTGGCTTCGAGGTGGCGGTGTAGTATTGGCGAGGTCATGGATCATATTTTTGTTCTTGTGGACCACTGGTGGTCCACAGACCACAGGTTGGAAACCACTGATCTACAGTCATCCCTCCACCTTATGGTTTTGATTTTTGTGAATTTGATTATTCTCGGATTTGATAAAAATGTTCTATTGAGGAATCTCTAGGTCAGAGCTTTCCAAACCTTTTATGTTGCTTACACACATTTTAGATGCGCATCTTTTCATGACATGGTATTTCAGTTTTACTAGCAAGCCAGAAATTAAACCAACCCCTTAGAAAAGTCGCATGCTATACATATTATGATGAAGAAGCCAGTGAAGTTCGGAAGCTACCCCCTCCCCTCTTTCTGTTTTGCTTAACAAAGCTAACACCAATGAGTATTGTGAGTTTTGTTAAATGGTCAACAGAGCTACTTCTGTACTTCCTAGACCAGAGCTTGAAAGTAAACCATATTTTGACTTAGGGTGCATCTAGAATTAATGCAGTTTGACACCACTTTAATTGCCATGATTAAAAGCTATGATTTCATTGGAGTGGTAGTTTGGCGAGACATCACTATTTGGCAGAGAAGACTAAAGAATGGGTAAAACTGCAACTACCATGATGCTGTAGCGTTGAGCTATAACAGTTAAAGTGGTGTCAAACTGCATTAATTCCACACTG